GCGTCTCGGTGATATAATTTTGTTGTTGCGAGAAAAATGTCTCGGCGATGTGATGATGATAACGATGGTAATTGCCTAAGGGAGAAATTTTTAATCCCCCCGTACCTCGTTGTTGCCGGTCAATGTATAAGCATCCAGAAACCTTATTCATAATTTGGTAAACAAAGCATGAGTCCCGACTAAGTGAATTTCATGAAATCTCCTAGCAAGTATTTTAGTTAATAAACCCATCACTGTTAGATTGTGTTAGAACCAGTTAATGATTAAAATCCTAACATGAACTGTGAATTTACAAACAATAAAACAAATTTACACCACGTGTTAGCGTCGGTCGAAAATCCGCATATTTCCGATTAGGTAAACAGGAACAATTAGCTACGCTTGTTGGGGAAATTATGGCATCGCAATCGATACGATTAATTTTCGTTAAACAAAGCCTTCCTCCCTTTTCTAACTATCAAACCAACTAAACTTAACCTAGCTAACTCACCACGTGGTTCACTCACATCAAACCAAACAAAAGTGACGTGTCACGATGCTCTACCAAGCCAGCACACCTTACTACCAACCCTCTAACTAAAATTCCCTAGGAGCTACCAACTACCTAAATGAACTAAACTTGCACATGGTTGCCTATATTTAACGATTTTCTTGATTGTTTTAATTCAAATCTGTTCAGCATAACGTTACTTGTGAATTATTGGACATAAATATAAATATATACTTATATAATATAAATTAGTCCTAGCCTAAATATCTAAATAACTGCAAACGTATATTCATTTGAAATTTTTTATCTAGTTAACGCATTCTAAATTCATTTTAAAATACCGAGTGACTATTAATGATTGAAGCAAATTTTTGAGTTGGCAATTCTGAATTATTGGCAGCAGTGTTAGGATGTCAGTTCACAGTTGTCAATTTTGTCCTGACCTAAAAACCACTGAGAAGATAGCATCATAAAATTTTAAATCTCTTTCCAACCTGATAAAATTAATTCGCAAAACTTTCAACACCAGGAACAAATGCTTATCACAGGGATTTCACAACTTTATTTCATTGTGTGGACACCCAAAACTGAGCATTGATGTTGAATTCAAATTATTATTTATTACTAATTATTCACTAACACTCCTGTTAAAATCGTTCGAAGTATTTTGAATTAACTTATGGTATCTTTTAAATTTAATAAAGACATTATTATTTACATAAATTGCACTACTAACAATTATTTAATATGACAGCGACCTTTAAAATGCGCTACTTTGTTACTGTGATTTTCAAACGATTCTATCATATTTCAAGCACCAAAATGAGGAAAAAACAGAAGACAATCGTGCTTTTTTACGATATTTCTCTATCACATATTTTTGGTTGAAAAAAGGAAAACATTGCTATACTTCCTCTAGCGAGCCTCCTTAATAGTCACTCGGTATAAAATACAGATTTAGGAAAACATCGTAAAAGCATTTCAAATAAAAGTATTTTGCATTGGTTCTGTGTGTTTGCTGTCATATAAAAATATGTGGAACGTGGAATAGTTTCTCCCTTAATATGGGGTAAAAATTGTGTCACAAAGAACTGATTTTAATATTCACAATTTTTGAGGTAAAATGTCCAAAAAAGTAAAATATGATTTCAGGAAAGTCGTTGAGTTGAGGATTCCTCACGGCTCAATTTTCGTCATGCTTCTACTTGTTGAAATGTAAGTGAATGAAAACAATACCTTTAACGCTTTCAAGAGAAAACAAAGACTTCTAGAAAAACCATCACAAACCGCTTCCAACTTTAAATGAAAAATCTGCTTTCTTTGTCTAGACCTGGGAAATCCTAATTCAAATGTATTGTTACAAAATAAATCCATACGTCGCCTATGGGCCGTCGAGAGCTTTCTGGTATGTCATCATTAGAGAGCGGATTTCTAGGTTTAATGCTTTTTGTGAAAAATGTAAGCACTTCAAAACTTTTTTATATCTGTAACTATGATACAATTTGGAGTCATTTGACACATTTCTTTTTATGCTTATTTGCTTTTTTTTTCAATTTTATGCATATTAAAACTTATATGCTTATTTAATGCTTTTTTCGAAGAATATGAGTTTTAATGCATATTTTGTTCAAATGCCGGCCATGTCGGGATGACAAATACTTGTTAGTTAGCCGTATCGTATCGTATGCATTTTACCTGGACTTGACCATTGAAGTACACTTACTCAAGACCCTTTCTGTGAATAGGTTCCGGTCGTTTGGGTAATAAAATTTTATTATAGGATTGGAAAAATATTCCATAGATTTTATGACTTTAAATCCTTACTTCCGTTGATATGAATTAAAGCTTTTAACCAGATGTTCTTTTTCGGCATTTTGCGGCAAGACCGTTGAAGATTTTCTAGAAAAAAGGATTATTGTACCCAACTACCTACCTTAAAATTTTTCTAATGGAAACTTTTAAGTAAATGAACCGTTTATTTCACAACCATCAGTCTATCGCATCTGTGGTAGTACAGTGTTATACGTGGTTCTCCCTTGTTACATGTTGAGTTCTTCTTGGTAATATTACTAATATTTTAAAAGAATGCCGAAAGTAAAATCGACGCCGGATGAGTGGATAAGGGATTTTCCAGTATTAAAATTAGAAAACAACAAAATATTCTACAGAGCTTCTGTGAAAACCGTAAGCTCACTAATTTTTTTTAATCTATTTTCCTTTGTTAATCCTGTATATGTACGTTGTTTCAGATTCAAACTGATAAAAAATATAACGTGACGCAACATGTCAGAACGACTTTTCATGTAGAAAGGAAGAAAATGTTTGAAGTTTCTAAAATTAAACAGCAGACCATACATGAATCTGTTGCATCCACTTCCACAAAAGATGAGCAGTTTCAGTTTAATTTCGATTTATGTAAAATGATGATCCAGTCCAATATACCTTTAAAAAAATTGGAGAAAGGCCCTCTTTAAGAATTCCTTGAAAAACACTGCAATCGACATATTCCGGTTGAAAGCACTCTCCAAAAAAATTATGTAGGCCCAGTGTTTCAGCAAGTTTACAACGACATTAAACATCGCATTGGAGATAATTATTTTTGCTTCGCTGTTGATGAAACAACCGATAGTTATGGAAGATACGTGGCAAGTTTAATTGTTGAAATCTTAAATGAAAATTTCCCTAGTCGAGGGTATGTAGTAAGTTTGAAAATGTTAGATAAAACAAATGGCAATATGATTACCAAATTTGTAAATGACAGTCTTACGTCACTATTTTTGCCAAATGCCGTACCGGCGAATAAAATTTTATTGATGATCTCGGATGCAGCTCGTTATATGTTGAAAGCAGGGAATAATCTAAAAATATTGTACCCCAATTTAATTCACTCTACTTGCATTGCCCACGGTTTAAACAGAGTAGCTAAAGGAATACGTTTGCAGTTTCCTATTGTTAATAAATTAGTGGCAAATGGTAAAAAGATTTTTGTTAAAGCCCCACTAAGAGTGCAAGATTTTAAGGAAAAATTTCCAAACATACCATTGCCCCCAGAGCCGATTATAACGAGGTGGGGAACATGGTTACAAGCCACATTTTATTATGACAAATATATCAAAGAATTTGAGGAAGTAGTTACGGAGTTTAGCGAAGATTCTTCTCAATCGATTAAAGCATAAATATTTTGGAAAACAAAGATTTGCGACAAGATCTAGCTTTTCTAAGAAACAATTGTCAATTCGTATGTGAGGTAATAGAAAAGTTAGAAAAACCCAACATGTTGTTGGAAGATGCCATAAACTTAGTGAAAGAATTTAAACAACAAGCAAACGCAGTAAGGGGTGATATTGGTACTAGAGTATCTCAAAAACTTGACGAAGTGTTAAATAAAAATGCAGATTTCGGTGTTCTTTCCGACGTTGCTCGTGTTTTACAAGGCCAGAAAGTGGAAAATTTGGAGTTATAAGATTCAAAATTAGTTGCAAAATTCAAATTTGCGCCAACAACGAGTGTGGAAGTTGAACGCACGTTCTCCAATTTTAAACAGATTTTAAATGATCGGCGAAAAAATTTTACAGTGGACAACTTGGAACATATAACAATCATAAATTGTTTTAAAGAAAACTGAAATACGTGTGTAAAATATAAAGTCTAGGATTATTGTAATAATATTTTATCCAAAGTTCTAAGAAGTGTTCTTTGATTTGTAATATGATTGTTTTTAATGTTTTTTTGCTTAAAATAAAACTTTTTTAATGAAATCATCGGTGACGGTGGCCGAGCGGTGTTCCATAAAGACAAGTCTGGAGCGGGTTACCGGAAGTCTCGATTGTGGGGCCCAGAAAATCCTGGAGCGGCGTTCTCGATCCATCGAGAGGAACATATAGGTTTAAATAGAGGCCACCATCGGGAACGATGATTATTCAGTCAGTAAGTGGAATCCAGTAAGCGAATTCATTCAAGTTACACCACGGAGTTATTCTGTACATAATCGCTGTAATAGGTAATCGTGTAAATTTGAGTTACTGAGAAATAAATTGTTGACTTTGAAAATAATAATCCATACAACAAAATTTGAAGTTTTCGGGAAAGTTTCCAGGTTTAGTATTCATTCCTTTCGGTTCGCTTTTTGTCTACTCATTACCAGATCACCTAGAGACATAAATTGTTTTAAAAATAACGTCGCTTATTCGCTTTTTGATGTAGACATAATAAACGCACCTCGATAAAGTGTGACAAACCTTTCCCAACTTTTCTCCCCCGCTGTAAGTTTGGCATCTCAATCCCGACCTCCTCTCCACCTGAACCTTATTTGTTGACCCCAAGCCGTCGTAAACCTCGTCGCAATAACCCTCCGCAGCAGGTATGCCTCTGTACCTCCAAGCCCGTAGCGTACGTTTCAGGTGTTTCAGCAATTTTCCGTCTGAGTATGGAATCGATCGCTGGAAGCGCCTCGGCGCTCCGCAACTCGGCAGGCTCAGTTTGTGTGCGTTCGGCTTCCCAGAAACTCGCTTTGCACCCTCTGTGTACACATTGTTCTACTTGTGAAACTACGATGCCTCGGTCGTATCGCTTCTTAATCTAACCTATTGTTTTTTTCGAGTTTTGGTGTGAAAAGGCTTTCTTTTTTATCGGGTCATCATGCCGCTGTTGTTTACGGTTCTCGTGTTCTTGTTGTTGTGCAGCACGGGGTTTTTGGTCAATCCGGTCAGTGCGGGTGATCCGGCGCCGGGGAGGTCGCCGGGGCCGCCGGAAGGCACGGTGGCGGCGGCGGTGGCGGATGGGTGCGAGATGGACGCTGGCGAAGAGGCGGACGATGGCAGTGAGCTGGAGGTGGAGGTTACCCATGCACTGTTCAGGACGGAGGTGGTGGTGCCAGGGATCGAATATCAGGGTAGGTGAAGAAGGTTGCGCTGGGTTTTGGCGCTACCTCGAACATTCTGGAAATGGGAGCTTAAACGAATTATTATCGTTGGGGTATAACTGATCAAAGGGAGAAATGTAGAGAGCAAACCGTTGAAAGGATGAACAAAACAACAATAACAAAATAGTTTACAACAAAACTAAATAACAACAAAATTATATTTACCATTTTCAGGTGGTTGTGGATTTTCTTTACCTGACTAATCAAATTAAGTCAAACTTTTTGGGTTACATTTAGATCAGATAAAAGACTTCATTTTCTGTTATTGGGTTAGTTGCGTCGTAGAACCAACGTAATAAATACATTGCTTGACCGAAATCTTCAGGTCAAAACATTCCACCGAGATTCTATAATTTCGTTGTTCATCGGATTGTTTTTCACTATACTTAATAACTATATCTAAAATAATTGTAAATACGTTCGCTTGACACTAATTGTTTAATTTAAATCTGCATTTACTGATAAGAATTTTTTATATATCGATTTTTAGACCAATTTTAATAATTATTATTAAAATATTAATATAAATTATGTTATTTAGAAAAAAATAGGTCCCCGTTTCCGTCTGTCTGTCTGTCTAAAATTTGTTGGCGCCACCTCAACATTTTGCGTAGTAAATACTATTTGAATTTTTATATAATGTGTACTCCTGTACTTGTAATTTATGAAGCTGCTTTGACTTTTTATGACAATTACTTTATAATAATGTTTGGTCAATATTGGCCACGTGTTGCACGTAACCGATATCTGGCTTATGCTTACGAATCGAATTGTGACTGGTACTGTACATAGCAGATATAGTTCGCAAAATCAGAAAGAAATGAGGTTTTTAAAATTTTCGGGAGATACTAACCTTGCTTGAAAATTATTGTGATTTATATCAAATTTAGCTACGACTTTACTTTAAATTATCTTTAAAATGACTTAAAACAACTTGGACTTTTAAACGGACTGCATACGTGGAATCGCATTGAATACAAACTGACTACATTACATTTCGTATGCGTTTTTTCGCTGACAAACCACATCACATTAAAATAAATTTTCTTGAAAAATCTCTGGACGATTCTACATTAAACTGTATTTCCAACTCTTCCACTCACGCTACTTTCTTTACGACACTAAACTTCTTATCGATTGTGAATGCGTTATAAATCTTTATGCTGGAAATGTGGATCTGATTTAAGCTTCTTCGTTGCGTTGTTTTGACTTCACCTAAAGTACATATTAACACTATGCAGTCATTTTAATAATTAGAAAGTGAAGATTTTTCTAGATTTTTCTTCCTTGCTCTAGACTTATTTTAGTCACATTTATTTTTGTACTGGTTGCTTCCAAGTTATTTTAGTTTTTCATCATTTTATTTTTTTTACTTCAGTTTTTCATTACAATTTTTTATAATCTTCCTCTGCCAAGTTTTGAAAATATCTATAACATTCGTACTTTTTGTTCACTTTCTGCTTGTCCATTTAAAGTTTCCTTTACCTTAATTTTTTTAACTCCAGATTTTGTTTTGTTTTATGTTCTATCAAACCCTCTTCATTTTGTTTATCGTTCGTTGTTTTGTTAAGGAATTTTTTTCTTATTTTGACCATCTACTTCAGTTTTCGTGATAAATACTCATAACTATTGAGACCCACATCTATAGCTGATGTTATCTTAGTCACCAGACAGGTGTTTCTTGTGCTTTTTAGTTTGCCTTGACCTCAATTCGACGTCTTTCTTCTCTGTTGCTGTAATATTATTTCAGTACGTTTAATTTGATTTTTGTGTATTCTATTTCTATCCTACTTTACCTTAAGTGTGTATTGTTACTATTTATCAATAGTATAAATAATTTTTTAGACAGCGTGATTATCATTCTTTAGAGTTTTTTTGTTTCGTAACTTATTCTGCTGTTATACTTTTACCGTATTTTTCTATTTTCTACTAAACTGTTGTATTTCTGTTTACATCCCAAGCGTAAGCGAAGAAAGTATTGTAATGGTCTCAACGTTATATATCAATAAGTCTGCCGTTCGTCCGCCGTTTGTATCGATTTATATTAGACCGATTACCTTTAAAACTACCGGACCGATTGTTGTGAATTTTGCGTAAATGGTAAAAACTCATCAAAATTTTGCTAATCATCCCATCCAACAATTTAATGACATTGCCTCAAAAATTTGGACATTATTTAAATTTTATAAAATAGCATAGACATGTAGTTTATGAATTTGCCTTGACCTTCTCCCGCGACATCCAAATTTCAATTTTTCGTAAAAAACTTCAAATTTTATAACAACATATTATATGTAATGCTGATTACGAACTCTCGGTGGCGCAGCGTTAAAAAATACGGTTGCGAGTCGGGATCCTCTCATGGGCCTATCTTCATATTCCCTGGGCGTAAGCTAAGGAAGAAACTACGGGATTGATTGTGGGCAAATTTTATATGTATATGTTAGGAATGTCGTATACATGGGCCAACGCTACTAAAATTTGCCTAATCAAACTTACCACTAATGTGCTGACATCTCCTCAAAATTTTTCATACTAAGTAGGATTTAAATTTTACAACATAACATACTCCTGTACTTGTTGTTTATGAATTGGCCTTGAGATTTTTCGCGAGGCATCCAAATTTTCATAAAAAATCGAAATTGGACAGAAATCTTTTATGTTACTATGTGTATAAGCGGAGTTATTACAAGGCTGATCGCGTAAGCGTAGTGTTCGCTTTTTGATGTATAACGCAAAAATGCCGCACGTTCGGATGTGGAATGGGTTTTTTTTTGTATGATCTACGTTTTTATTGTTCAAATCTCACGGACGGTACCCCAGTGTTTTATTATTAGTATTACCTGCACGTGTCGCAATTGACATAAATGTCCTTGCTGAAATAACGCTGATTAGAACATTTTTAAATGGGAAACTCACTAAACAGGCCTTGCTCTTTATCAGTACATTGATAATTTTGGGACAATTGTTAATCCGTTTCCCGTCATGGGTAGAGGACAAGGATACTCTGGAGTCTAGAGCAAATACTCGTATAAACAATTGTGTTTTCATAACATAATGCTTTCGAATTATAGACAGTAGCAGGGTATGGGTGATCAACTATGACATACTAATGATTTCAGAATAACAAGCTCTACAAGAATCTCTAAAAAATACAATATCATATGCTTATATTTTGCCTTTTTTTAATATATTTAGTCTTCTTTCCATAATCAAAAACTTAAAACATGTTTAAAAAGGGAAAATTTTATAGAGAAATATGAATGTTGCAATTAAGTTCCGCCCCCAAAATTACGACAACCAAAAAAATCGTCGGATAGTGCGGGTGGGTGGGGGCTTATATTTTGCCTTTTTTACGTATTTATTCTTCTTTTCATAACCAAAAACTTAAAATGGTAAATTTTTATAGGGAGATATGAATTTTGCAATTAAGCTCCCATCCCCTAGCCCACGACAAATTAAAAAACCATCACAATTAAGGTAGGGCGGATGGGCGGAGCTTATATTTTGCTTTTTTTAAATATATTTAGCAGTCTTTTCATAACCAAAAACTTAAAATGATTGTTTAAAATGGTACATTTTTCTAAAAAAATATGAATTTTGCAATTAAGCTCCGCCCCCAAGCTCACGACACATATGTAAAAAAATCAACACAATTAAGACAGGGTGGGTGGGCGGGGCTTATATTTTGCCTTTTTTTTATATGTTTAGTCTTCTTTTCATAACCAAAAATTTAAAACATGTTTAAAATGGTAAATTTGTATAGAGAAATATAGATTTTGTATTTAAGCCCCACCCCGTGACTTGTAACAAATAAATAAATCTTCACAATTGAGATGTGCTAGTATTTTGCCTTTTTTAATATATTTAGTGTCATTTTCGTAACCAAAAATTTAAAATATCAATTATGCAATTACGCTCCGCCCCCAAGATCAAGACAAATAAAAAAATCATCACAATTAAAATAGGGTGGGTGGGTGGGGGCTTATATTTTACTTTTTTTTTTTAATATATTTAGTTTTCTTTTCATAACCAAAAAATTAAATTGGTAAATTTGTATAGAGAAATATGAATTTTGCAATTACGCTTCATCGCCCAGCTCACGACAAATAAAAAAATGATCACAATTAGGATAGGGCGGGTGGGCGGGATTTTATATTTTACCAATTTTTTTTAATATACTTGGTTTTCTTTTATTAACAAGAAAATGAATAAATATTCAAAATTGTAAATTTTTGTAGGGAAATATGAATTTTGCAATTACACTCTGCCCCTCGATCCGACAAAGAATGAAAAATTCGTCACAGCTGAGATATATAATAACATATTTAAGTGTTAACAAAAAAAGTTGGATTTTGTGCACAAAAAAAAACGTGTCAAAACACGTTTATAGAATGTCATTTCGCTTCTTACATACAAATAAAACTGTATTTTAGGGGCGAGGGAAGTCCTTAAACCATCATTATCTTTATACTTTAACTGTCATTGTCTACATATTTTTTAGTTTATAAAGGTTATTACAAAATAAGTAAAATTTCACAGAAACAATTTATAATTTTTGAAAAAACTGTACTTCAGAGGTGAGAAAAATTCTGTCCTAATAACCTTCGTGTAATTTCTACTTCCTAAACATAAGTTTATTGAAACAGAGCTCATCCGGTGAATGACTACGTTCATATTTTCTCGACGTTTCATGACTCGTAGAGTACGAAAAAAATAGGTCTTTCCTTCCTGATAATCTCCAAAAATACCAGACCGATTTTTGCCAAATTTAGTATGTTATGAATGTCATGAAAATGATGAAACACCAATTCAAATGTGTGTAATCATCTCCACCAACAATATGATATTCGCTCAAAATTTTGTGCAATAAATATGATTTAAATTTTATAAAATAATATACTCCTATACTTGTGGTTTATGAATCCGCCTTAAATTTTATTCACAATTACTTTACAAAAATGTTTGTG